CAGGTGTGTGCCACCACATCCATTTCCAGCAGCTCTCTCTGACAGGGCTGGCATGGCATACAATATGGGGGATTGATCCCAGGTCCTTGTGCTTGCCAGGCAGGCGCTTAGACCACTAAGTAATCTCCTAGGCCCTTGCATATCCACATCTTGAATTAAGTACCCTCCCTGTTATCAACACAAAAAGGCATGCTCATTGTTTAGAATAGGACCTCTCTTATTTTAGGGTGTGATTTATTTTTTACCTTTCAAAGGGAGTTCAGTACTTTCACTTTATTGAATTGGGGTTATTAAATGAGAAGCTGGTCACTGAAATGGAGCTTGTCTTTCCTGGTGTGAGCTGAAAGTGCCATTTAAGAACTCAGGACTGGTATTATCCAAAACCTGTGTCTTCTGAGTAATGCTAAGTAATGACTGAGCCAAAAATGCTCCTTTCTGTCGTACACAAGCAGTGTCTACTGACATTTATTCTTTCAGTCCTGTTGGTACAAAAGTGAAGTTCAGGGTACAGCCACAAAATCCATTAGGCCTCCCTCTCTTGGGATTCATCTGTCAACAGCTTCATGTCCTGAACTTCTGTAGAGCATGCAGTGTCCTTGAAATGAATGTATTTGAAAGAAATATATTTTCCCATGTATTTTTTAAAGTAAACATCTGCAGATGTTAAAGGCATAGTGGCAGACACATCTGTGTCCATTACTGATCAACTGAGAGCTGCCCTGGAGAATGATTTGACCTACTAGGAAGTTCATTGGGGTTCATTTATTTGTTATTTGAGATTAAGACTTTTTTCTTTCCTTTTTTTTGGGGGGGGTATTATGTGTTTATCTCATTTTTGGGTTCTGATTGCTTATTTTGTAACCGAACTAATAAGCTTTCTGATACGGTCATGTGCATATTCGATTTTATTTGGATAGTAACCTCTATGCAGTTGAGAATCCTGTCTTTGTGATTTCCATAGACCTTAGCTAAGCGCATTGATCTGTAATGGCTCAGATGGCATATACCATGTGTGATGGTATAAAGACTAAGGAAAAGAAAATGTTTTGAAATATCCCTTTGATTCTAGTCTCAAGTTGCCATCAAAAAGTATGAATTAAATACGTAAGTGTTTTTTCATTCATTATGTATATTGTTTATTTTTTTAAACCTTGGTGATATAGTTTTCTAGTCTGAGGTAGTCGAGGAAGGATTCTGAACACATTATGGCCTTGGATATAAGTAACATTTAGTTGAATTTCAAAAAATGTAATTAAGTATTCAAGAGTCATTTTCTCTCATCTGACTGTTCTGAGGAGAGATCTCTTAATGAGAGAGATGAAATAATCTGAAAGGTTTCTTGTTGGAGACAGGCTGCCTATGAAGTTCAGGCTGGTCTTAAGCTCACTGTGTAGCCTGGCTGGTGGTCCACCTGCCTCAGCCTTCTGAGTGCTACAGTTAGAAGTGTGTCTCACCATACCCAGTGCTGGCAGGTTTCTGAGACAGTGGGGGGCTTTGGGCTTTGCTAGGTTTTAGAAAATGGCCTTCATGTCCACGTTTAAATGAAGTGCCAGCCATGACTCCCAGTTGGCTTTGGGTCTTTTAGCATCTGTAGGTAAGTAGCAAACTTGGGCCTACCAGGAGCTTGATTCTCACCCCCACCCCACCCCACTTATAGCAGTCTTACCCAGAGAGCAAGATAAGAATCTCTGACATCTCATTCTGGAATGTTTACATAAGAAAGTTTCCTCCATAAACTCTATAATTTACTTTGATACAAATATTAGGAAAGCCAGGTAATAGAGGAAATTTTTAATCTTACCAAATAGACCTAACAGTATTTAATCTGTTTATCAGAGGAAAAAAAAACATGAATAAACTGATGAAAAACATTAAAATCACTGTTATTCCACCACTTAGGGCAAAATTGTATAAACCCTTAGATATATATTCTGCAATGTATTTTTCCTTCAAATTATATGTGTTGTATTTGTATGTTTTCATGCTGCTTTACAGGAAAAAATTGAGGCACATGTATGTTTTCCTTGGACATGATTTTTATTGGCTATGTAATATTCTTGTTATGCCATCTAGATAACTCTTACATTAAATAATCTTAATTGATAATCCTCAGATTTCTAGTTTTGTTCATAGATTGTTTGACTTACAAATTTGTATGAAGCTATTTTCTGTAGAACAATGACCCCCCCTTCTTGTGCGCCCCTGGCCTTTCACATGCTAGGCACACATTCTGTGACTGAGCCCCTGAACAATATTGTAAATGGTAGTTTATTTCTAGACTGATTCAACAAGTCCTTATTGGTGTCTGCCACCTAGCTAAGGAGTACTGCCAGACATACGTTGGTCCAACATTTTAAAGCTTTAGATTAGCTTATTATCTTACTTCTATGGAACTCTCTGTAACCAGGTCAGCACCTGACAGAGCATCAGAGGGTATGGTGGTAGTGCTTCTGTGCCCACAGTCTTGGCCAGAACAGCCAGCGTGAATAGACAGTGTTCACTTGGTACCTATGGGAAGAGATGTGGTGGGACTCACCCTGGAAAGATTCTGCTGGCTAGAACTAAGCCAGGTGATGAACACCTCAGGAAGTAAGGCAGGAGCATTGCTGTGAGTTTGAGACCAGCCTACGCTACATAAGTGAGTTCAAGGGCATCCTATACTACATAGTGAAGTAAGGACGGATAGACAGATAGAGGGATGGACAGATAGACTGTGCTCCAGAACCTTTCCTATCAGTGGCAAAGACAAAGGAAAAGCAAAGGCAAAACATAAAACCAACAAAAACCTTAATTGATAGTTGTAGACCATTCCACCAAACAACCGAACACACAGTTGTTCTAAAGGCACACAGAACATTTACCGTGTTCTGTACCATAAATAGTACAGGAATACTGTAATTGTTAGATTTAAGCCCATTTCTACAATATGTAATCATTCTAATTTAAATGTTATCCAGAGATAAAGTGTATATCCATTTAAAGTCTATAGTGAAAAAAAAAAAGTCTGTAGTGAATGTTCATAGCTGTTTTATGTATAAAAGCTCAAAACTAGAAATAAGTTAATGTCGACCAGCAGTCAGTGTACATCAGACAGGTGTATCCATGCAACAGAATACTTAGTAATATAATAGGATCCCTTTAATAGAAATAAATTTCATTTTAGGTTAATGTGAAAAAAATCCAGACAAAATGAATACGTACTGTCATTCCATGTGTGTGAACTTTTAGAACATGGGTGCTAATCTTCAGTGTCAAAAATGCCAGGTCAGTGATTGCCTAGGTTTGGGGCATATGGGATAGGACAGAAGGAAGTTTCTCATGGAATGAGAAAATTTTGGGAGCTGATGGATTATAACTATGATGGCTTCACAGGTTACACATACATCAAAATGACATTTTGGTGTATCGTACATCAAAATTGTACACTTCGAAGTTGTGTATAGTTTATTGTGTATCAGTCATACCTCAATATAGCTGTTTGAAGTATAAACAATAAAATAAGACAGCCAGAATTGTGTCATTCTACTGTGTACTTTCTAAAGTCCTTTCTGATTTGTGCTTCTGTGCAACTAGAAGCAGTGGCAAGTGTTAGGAATCTAAGAAAGAGAGAAATTTTTAGTTAATTGTTAATTTTGAGAATCAGTTTGTTCTGTAGCTGAACTTGCTGTGTTACCTAGGTTAGCCTTAAACTTTGACCTTTCTGCCTTAAGTTTCCCAACTCCTGTGAATATAGGTGTGTAAACATCTGGGTGGAAACATCTTTTATATTTAGCATGATTAACAGTTGAGTGTTAAATTTTCTTTGAGTAGCAATGTGATATCTAATAAAGAGCTCAGTCATGTTTTATCAGCTTGAATAGAGGACTAGAAAAATATGATGTTAATTCAGTGACTCCTCCTTACCTATTTAATCAAAATCAAATTTCTGAGCAGGTGGTGTGTGTGATGTGCTGTGGTTTCACCCTGCATTCTCTGTTCAGTCTTAGTTCACCCTGGCCCCAGAGTGCATGTGTTCTCCGGTCCATCCACCCTTAGTACTTTTTGCTGCCTGTGGTTCTGACCTACTCAGCTTCATCTTTGGCTGGTAAAATCCTACCTGCCGTTTAAGTTTCCATCTAGAAGGTCATCTGAAGTGGGTGTGTTAGTAATTAATTTTGCCCTGTGTCTTGCACTGTGTTATGTCAGTGCCACCTAGCCAGGTAGCTTGTGTGCACCGGGCTCCTGAGCTGGCTGTACATACCTTGCATAGCGCAGGAGCTGCACTCAGCAGGGAAAAACGACACAGATTAGTTTATGCAGTAGGCTTCTGTATATTTAAATGTGTTAGACTTGTTAATTGTGACTTTACATTTTTTTTTTAACAGTACATGCTCATAGTACATGATAATTACATTCATCATGGGAGTTTAGTACATGCACGTAACACATTTTAATTCTTATTCCCTTTCCCTTCTACCTCCTTCCATATCTTGTTTTCCTTCCTGTTGGAAAATTTTTTCTTCCCTGTTTCCCATTATCTTTCATTTTAAAATTTTATTGTAAATAATACCATTGAGGGAAGCAGCAGCAAGACAAGCAGGAGAAAGCAAAATTTTACTTTGCTTTGGAAGCTTGTTGTATGGCCATTTGATTAGAGCAGTGTGTCCTCCTCATTCATGACTTTTTTTTTTTTTTTTTTTTTTTTGATGTGCTCTCTTATGCAAACGTTTAAAATATATGGCACCTCCCCACAACCTCAAATTCTAGGAACAAGCAGTGGCTAGTTGAGAAAGGGAGAGGCAACTGGCCACAATTGCCTCTGAAGGCATACAGAAATAACTGTGTGAGTGTAAGTTCACTGAATGGTATCCTAACAGTGAGTATTCATTGTGTCATGGAAAGAGCATGATGTTGATGGGAGTCACAGATATTTATTTGGAGAATTATGTTTTTGAGATTGCATATCAGACCTGGCCTCTGGATTGTCCAAATTGCTCACTTCTTAAATTTTGTTTTTCTAGGTCCGGACCCTATTTGTCAGTGGTCTTCCTCTGGATATCAAACCTCGGGAGCTCTATCTGCTTTTCAGACCATTTAAGGTACGTTTTCTATCTTTCAGAAATTATAGGCGATAAACAGACTATATACTACAAAATTCATGAGAGCTTTTTGAATCAAGAAAATAAAAGTTTCAGAAAGCACCTTGTGAAGAGAGATTTAAAGACTAATGTGTTTTAAAGGAATTAGCAGTTGAGTTCTAGTGTATATATAGTCTGTGGATGCTGAGTCAAACTGCCTTTGGGCCTTCAACAGCCAATGTGGAGCAGTCTTAGAGATATGAGTGTAGATGAGACAGGGATGAGCTTCTGGCCTCAGGGGTCTCTGCTCTATGTAAAAGAGCCTTAGTGATCTCATTGTTTATTCTACCTCATCCCGTTGTAGATGCTAAGTAGAGAGCATGAAAATGTTACAAGTTACTTTTACGTATTTATATTTCAGATGTGATAATATAAGTCAAGCCCTATTGTAGGTGGCCTCCTTACTAGTTGGAATAATACTCTTGGTACTCTCTTTGGAGAGAGAATATAAATAGGCTTTTTTATGAGTTGGATTAAGAACCTGACACTTATTTTTTTCACAGCCCAAACTCTTGTTTCAGAGTCAAACCAGATTTCATAGGATACATTTGTTTGAATCGGGGTTTCTTTCCTGGTAGTGAAATATTTAATGCATTTGCCTGTGTGTCTTCTCTATGGAAATAAAGATACTTAATGTTGCTGGAATTGAAACCTTAACAGGAAATTGGGCTAGTGCTGAAAAAAACTATGGTGCTGGAAGGCTTCATGAATGTAGGGCCCCTGCGTAGGAGGTCTGAGTTGGTCATTGTGGGTGTGTCAGCAGCAGTGCCTGGCAGAAGCCATTCTTAGATGAGGCACTGGACAGTTGGTTTCTCATTAAAGATCTGTCCTGGCTGAGGAGGAACAACAGTTTGAGGGGTTGGGTTCAGCATGGTAGAAAGGTGGAATAGGATGTAACAGCTGAAAACATTGAGTTAGAAATGAGGAAAGATTACAGGAAAAACCAGGTTCAACTAAAGTCCAGTTTATGTGCCAGTGAGCACCATGAGCACAACTCCATTGTGACAGACACTTCGAGATACAGGAGTAGTGTTGACCTCATGGAAGGAAACAGAAAGTTTTGGTATAAGGCTGGCTAATAGATAGTAGAAAAGAAAGAAAAGACATGGTAGAGAGTGGCAACTTCATAAAATTACCTGAGTTGCTTCTCCATGGCTGAAATGTACGGAAGGGACAGATTTCTGTAAAGGCTGAATTCTTTTAAGCTAGTTAAACTTGATATTGTTAGTTATATGGGAGGAGACAAATGCATTTCAACAAAATATACTGAGATTTTATTAGTTAGACTGGTATGTAAATTATGTCATTTAATTACCACAGTTCTTTAAGGTGAATTAGCCTTTTTTTTTTTTTTTTTTTTTTTCCTCCAAAAGACAAAAATGCAACTGGGAGCAGTTAATTAATTATGCTCAAGTTGGCAGAGCCAGGGAACCAGTGTTTGATTCTGTTGTCCCTGTGCTAAAATATAAAGTTACACAGTTCCTCTATAACTTTAGAACACAGCATATCCCTACCAGTGGTATTTTAGTTGAGTGAAATATCCCTTTATTCTTTACCTGCAAAGCCTCTTGAGTGTTGAAACCTCTGGGATTTTTAGGAGAAAACTCCTTTGTGAAAGGAGGGGCTAAGTAGTGTGAATCATGAATTTTCTAGCCATGAGCTTCTTAAGGCCTTGGAGGTAAAATGTTTATAGTAGCTAATTGGTAATTGAGTTTTCAGCTGGGAAGATGTGAGAATGAATCAATCCCAACATCAGTGCTAAAGTCGGGACCTTGCTACGTTCCTAGCAGCCCTCTTTTAATTAAAGTCCCTGGCAGTTGACCTTAGTCTGCAAATCTAACTCGGCCTGATGTGCGTAGTATAGTCAGTCTTGTCAAGTGGTATTTTTCGTCTCTGGTATCATCCATCAGTGCAAGCTACCAGCCATTGATTATTTGAGAAAAAAAACACACGCTGGTAGTCGGAACCAGGGTACAGGGCAGGGGTGAAGAGAGAGAATGAAAGGAAGGGAAATTTTCATCTTCTTTGAGGATGAGCTGGAGTAGAACCCTACAGGGCTGTTTTTTCATGTTGCAGTTAGAATACCATCATGGTAACTGGCTGCTTCGTTAAGTAAGCAGAAGGATGTAATCTAATGCAGCATGCATCTTCCCTTTTCTCTCTCTCTCTCTTTTTTTTTTTTTTTTGGTTTGTGTGTAGTACCAGGGATTGAACTCAGGACCTTGCCAGGCAAGCACTTTTTCCACTGAACTATCTCCCCGGCCCCTTCCTCATGGTTTTAAAGTTTTGATCAATAAATTGTACCTCGTATATGCTTGATGATCCACTGTTATTTTATAACAAGTGAATATATATCCAAGTCAGACTTGTTTGCTGACCCACATTATATTATTAAAATACCCCCTTCCCTCTCCTAATTTTATAAAATCTCTACTCTTATACAGACCAAGAAAACAAAAAAGGTCTGTTGACACACCCATTACCCTGCCATTGCATACTTGATGAAAAAAAAAAATAAAGAGAAATGTGGATAAATTCATCAATTTTAGGACATGATTTATTTTAGGTCTCACGTATGCAAATTTGTGTGTGTGTGTATGTGTGTTGCACAGTCATTTTCCCTAACTTTGAATGCATTTATGAGGAGAATTAATCAGTAGTGATAAAGGACTCACTTTTTCTTGAGCAGGATGATATAACTTACTTTTTTCCCCTTAGGGTTTTTTCGTCTTCTTTTTATCTAAACTTGTCTCTCTATTTTCAGGGCTATGAGGGTTCTCTCATAAAGCTCACATCTAAGCAGGTAAGAATTTGAAAAATTTTGTCTAAACAATCACTTTTTTGTAATTTTCTTCCGGAATGTTGATGGGGCTTAACTTTCTTTTTTTATTCCAATTGGGCTTTAATTTTTTGTTGTTGCCTTTAAAGGTGACATTGAGTCGCAAATTAGCACAGGAAAATTTGTACTTCTATAGTCTCCAGCTAGGACATTTGGGAGGTGGTAATCAGTGGCTCCAATAGTCTTGATGGGCTTCTTGGATTACCTGTGTGCTTGTTTTTCATTTCTTTCTTTCTTTTTTTTTTTTTTTTTTTTTTTTTTTTTTTTTTTTTTTTAATTTTTTTATTTTTTCTTAAGCTGAAAACTTGACAATCACCTGTCTCTCTGGTTCATCAGGAATAAGCTGTTTTGCAGAAAGCCTTCTGGCTGAAGGAATAAGTGTCCAAAGGGATAAGGGCCCCTATTTACTTGCAGCAATACGGTTTACATGTCTGTTTAAAAATTGGTTTTTTAAAAGCATCTCTTAGGATCTGAGATGAAAATTTTTACATGTAATTTTGAGGCTTTAGGGCTTTTATCATTGTGTCATTCTATTCCTTGCACTTACAGTGTACCAAAAGGTGATTCGGTTCTCTTTTCATTTTAAAAGATGAAGAAACTGAGGTACAGTGAATTTGATTTAGGAAAGTAGAACCTCTCCAACCCAAATTTTCCTCTATCCCCTTATTCACTGCTGCTCACCTTCCAACCACCTCTAGATTTTTTTTTTTTTTTTAATTTTTAATTCTCTAAGTCCCTGGCTATGTCCTTGAAGAACCACCTTCACCATCCCTTTGATTCATGTTAAAAATTTGGCTAAGCCACTACGTCATGATTCTTTGGTACTGGCTTTCTTATTTCTACCCATCGCCTGTGGTCGTTTCTTTATCTTAGCGCTTCAGTTTGACATGCCCTTTGACAGCTGTGTGCTGATTTTTTTTTTCATGTTTGTCTTTCTTTCCTTAGCCCGTAGGTTTTGTCAGTTTTGACAGTCGCTCAGAAGCAGAAGCTGCAAAGAATGCTTTGAACGTAAGTATACACTTATGATAGATTCTAGGGGTTCTCAGGAGGTGGTGGGAAGTAGTAATCTCTTCGGACCCGAAATCAAATGGAAGGCCTATGACTGCTCAGTCTAACCAGGAAGGAAGGATTCACCAGTTTAATTAATCTCGTACGGAGCTCTTTCCATGGAGTGTGATGAGAGGTGCAAATTGTTCTCATTGGCTCTTACTGAAATGTTTGAATACAAATTGATGATGCAGGTTTATTTTAATTTACCTCCTTCACAGCTCATGATGTGACTAGCACTGCTTATTTTTTTCCAGAGGGGATTGTAGACATGAGCCTGGCCAACACTGGACTCTAAATGGCTAAGCCAAGAACAGAACAAAACCTTGGCTTTTCTTATTGCATCAAGTTTTTATTTTTACTTTTTTCTTTTTAAAGAATGTAGCTTTTTGCTCCGAATGCCTTCAGGGCAGGTTTGGCTGGCTTGAGTTGTGGGGATCGAACCACAACAACCTGAGCCTGACTGCTTTGTTGAAGCAGCCACTTAAAGAGCTGAGCTAAGGGGCAGGCCCCTGCATGTGGCTTTTTGTAGTTTTTTTAAAAAGATCATAATTTTCATTCTGATGGTTGAGCATTTGCATATGTCTTTCCCCAGACACATTAAGCATTGTAATGTAATAAATTACAGTCACTTGTAATTGAGTAGAGATACTTGTAGGCATCATATCTATCGTGTTTTGTGGCATTTATCAGCATTACTTTAGTAAATATTTTCCCCCTCTGGTATGTTAAAAAACAAAACAATTTAAGGAAACTAAACCAAAGGGACATGGAAGAAGGCATAATTTGGTCCTAGTGGCTGAAGTCTAAGTAAAGTTGGGCTGTAGTGTCCTCCAGGCAGTTGGCATAAGCAGTTGTGAATAAATGTTGATTAAAGCAGGTCAGAGCATCTAGGTTGCTTCCTAACAGGCAGGTGACCGCTTGACCACTTACAGTACAGATGCCCTTGTATAGGCTTTTGGCAACTTGTGGCCAGACTTTGTTTCTGAGCTACATCTCAGTGTCCCTGCCAGCTGTGCCTTTGAGCAGACCACACAAAGAGGGTTGTTAGAGACTTAATATGGTGATGAGTGGGGGCCCCAAGGGAAAACCTTTGTGTGTCTACTCGGCATAATGGTATCATTATAACCCAATCTTCAAATGTTTTTTGACTTGGAAAAAAAGTATATACTTTCAAAAGAAGTGGAATGGACATTTTTCTTAATAGCACATAGGCAACATACTTTAGGACTCAAGGATCTCCTGAAGAGTCCAGAATTTTTCTTCGTTTCGATAAATGACTTCTGGTCAGAACACTGCCTTCTCATACAGAACAAAGTATAAACCAGTTACTTGTCAAGTTCCAGGAGTGCACAGCAAAGCCCAGTTTTTATGTAAAAATTATTTTATGGCCTCAGGATGTAGCTGAATAGTAGAGTGCTTGCCTAGTATGGATAAAATCCTGGGTTTGACCTCTGTTTCCTCAAAAGAAAAAAAAAAAAACTTTATGATTTTGGCGTTGCATAGTTACTACCAGAATTTTCTCAGTATAGTCCAGTTTTACACTTGAAACCATACATTTTAGTGAGGCATTGTTCTATATAATTTTAAACAAGCAGACATCTTTCTAAATCTTCTAGGTGCTTTAGAGTTATGTTAGATGATGTTTCCACTGTGTTGTTTCCATTGTTCTTGTAAAGAAAGTAATAGTAGTTGAGGCACATTCACAGTGTGGGCTTTACTTCTGGTGTGAGTAGAGATGGCACCAATTCACTGTTTGAAGAACAGTAGGGTTTGCACAGTACCCATACCTGCTTTGGTATATACTTTTAAATGAATAACTGAAGTTTATTGCTTTAATTTCTTAAAATGGTGCTGAAAACTATTTCCTTCCTAAATAGAGTATGATGAACATAATTTCATTTTACTTTGGTACTTGAAGGTTATCATCAGAAACAGATTTTTAAACCCAGCTCACCCTGGAGTGCTATTTTTTGCTGGCACATGGTGTGGTACATGTTCTTCCCTTGTGCTAAGCTCTCTCTTCTCACTATCAACAAGCTTTACACAGCAGCATTGTCTGCTCTGTAATCATTAATGCTGCTGACTACTTGGGAAGAACCCCAAACAAAAGAAGTCTAATGCTGTTCTGTAAGTCTGTGGAAAATTCAGATTTCACCATGTGGTAGTGAACATGGGCTTTCAGCTGCTCAGGAACAGCTTGTGAACATAGAGCATTTACTGAGCTCCTGGCCAATCTCTTTCTTGACATGTAAACTTATATGTAAAGTATTGCAGGTATAACTAAAAGAATCGGGGTATAGTTAGAGAAACAGACCTTGAGAGGAGTGATTCAGTCAGCAGGCTTCGGTGGGAGATGTCTCAGGGAGTCATCTCCAAATGAGGCTCCCCATCTCAGGCCCTGTATGCTTTATGTGGCATCTTGCCACTTGTTTTGTCTGTGGAATGTTGCTACCTATTTCTCTATGACAATAACAGACTGTTCAGTTCACATCATCTAGGACAAATGGCCCTGATAAAGTCTGGTGTGTAACCATGGAGCAGAGTTTCCTCTCCACAGAGAAAATGGGCCCATTCAAGGCAACAGGTGTTGAATACTTTCTGTGATTTGGCATGCTAGGCCCTTTTCAGGTTCATCTTTTCAAATCGATGACCTAACATATGATGTTCAGTACCATTACAAAATTGTCTCTTGTGCCATTTGTTCAAGCTTCTCCTGGAAGCTTTTCCTGGAATTCTTTCAGGAAGAGTGCCATGTTGTAATGTTTTGTTTTATTCTACTATTGAGAAACTTAGGGCTAGATCCAGAAAGTCTCTCTATATAGAATAGTTCACAGTGGTAGGAACTGCCTGTCCATGTTTGGAGATTATCTTCTTGTTGTTATTCTCTGTGTTGGTTACTGTCTGGTTCCGTTGTTAGTGTTAATTAGTCTTTTCCCAGAATAACTGATTTTTTTTTTCCAGCCCATTTTTTTTCTGCCATTTTAAGACTGTGCTTCAGTCAATTTCATAATCTTTTGGAAGAGACCTGCTCAGGTTGAATTAAATGGTAATACTAAACTGTATCTGGGCATTAACTCAAACCAGGTAGATAGAGTATTTTTTGTTTTTGTATTCCAGTCTCCAAAGTTAGGCTAAGAATAACAACCCAAGCCCAGATTTCCCTTTAGGTTATCTGTGATCTCATAAATCCACATGATTAGAAATCCCATCCATTCTTTAACTTTGGTAGCAAAATTCCACATTTGTAATATCTGTAAAATTAGTGCTTTAATTAATTTCCTTTTCTATGGAAGATGGAGCTGTTAACCTAATGGATCTTATTACTTCTAACATTTGTTTATAATATTGGAAGGCTGGTCCCAGGGAGATAGCTGAGTAGAATAAGTGCTTGCCTGGCAAGTGCAGGGTCCTGAGTTCAATCCTTGGCACTGCAAATAAATAAATAAATAAATTAATTAATTAATTAATTAATTTTAAAGAAATAAAAATTTTGGGGCCGGGGAGATAGCTCAGTAGAATAAGCGCCTGTCTGGCAAGTTCAATCCCCAGTACTTCCCCCCCACCTCAAAAAAAAAAAAAAATTCCAGTGTAATATTGGCAGGTAAATCAAATATAACAAAATAACTGAAAATAGCTTGGTTTACTAAGAATTCTCATGTATGGAAATGTTAAAAAAACACAGAAAGCTGAGCAAGTTCCAAGGATAAAAACCTTCAACAGACACTAGGATAAAATACATTTCTGGATATTTGTGCCAACGGATCCCAAAATTACCATAGATGTCTAAAAGAAATTTTATTTTAACAGTTAAGAATGATTTGTAATTAACATTTCAGGTCACACTGCAGCATAATCATACTGATGTAGAACTCCATAACAAGCTTTTTTTTTTGTTCTTTGTTTTACACTGGTGCTGAAAATTAGCTCCCCTGGCTCTCCAAAGAACTTCAAGAGGTTGTACACAGGCTGTGGTACATTGCTGCAATTGTCTTTGAAACTACACATTACTTAAACTAGTGCAATAGTTTGCCTTACGCTTAAGCTGTAAACTCATTGATCAAAGCGTCTCTAATGATCAGTATGTTTCTAAAGAACTTTATTGAAACACAGTTCATATGCCATACAGTTTCCCCTGATTAAAGATAAAATTCAGTGAGTTTTGGTGTATTATGTTGTTTTAAATTATAGTAAAAATATATGCAAAAAAATTACCATGTTGGTAGTTTTTAGGTATACAGTTCAGTGCCATTAATCACATCCACCATGTTGTGCAAACATTACCACTAGCTATTTCTAAAATATTTTCATTAACTAAGGCAAAACTTCTGTAAGCATTGAGTAATACCGCTTCGTTCTGTCTTCCCCCTAATCCCTGGTAACCTCTAACCTACTTTTTGTCTTATGAATCAACTTTTTCTAAACATTGAAATATGTCTCTTTTTGTTTCTGGGTATTTCTTAACATGACTTTGGAGACCACCTATGTTTTGACATCAGAATGTGATTTTTTTTTCCCAGTACTGAAGATCAAACCAAGGGTCTCATAACTTCAACCTAGAGCCCTGTAATTTTTTATTTTTTATTTTTATTTATTACATTTATTTATTGTTTGTGTGTGTGTGTGTGTGTGTGTGTGTGGCCTGCTCAGCCCACCAGGGGGCGGGGCTGGCTGGCATATGGTGCTGGAGGATCGAACCGAGGTCCCTATGCTTTGCCAAGCTTGTTTCAAGTAGGTGCTTTAGACCACTGAGCCATCTCTCCAGCCCCAAGAGCCCTGTAATTTTTTTCACTGATATAAAAACAATATTTTGCTTGTTCAGTCATCTGTTGATGGATTCTGAAGTTGAATCCACACTTTGACTATTGTAAATAATGCTTCAGTGAACATTGGTGTACAGTATCACCAGTTGATTGAATATACCTAGGTGTGGAATTTCTAGGTCATTTGAGAATCATATG